CAAATAGACATCTCTCCCTCGTGAGCAAGAGTGAAAGGAACATTGCCTTCCCTATCAAGGCCCCTTGTGGGGAACACATGATGGTCGGATTCATTGCCCGAGCACCCGTTCCCAGCCTACAATCCACGTCTCAACGACAGACGGGTCGCCACACATGTCGGATTCAAATGAGAACTGAGGCCTCGTGATTCACTAAAAGGTGTTTTGTACCTTGCCCTACGATTCCGTGGGGAGGAGAGGTGTTTGGGGGATGAGAGGTAGTAAAAGGTGATCAAGACACGGTAAAGCTATCCGAACCCCTAACACATCCTCAATTGGCACTCTAGACCGAGAGAAGAGTCCTTTGACGGCTCAACTCAAACACTATGCTTGGTTGCCTCTCGCGTGAGAACCTCCATTTTCAAAAGATTTTTTTTGCAAAGGTGAGCACATTTTGAAAAAGTTTTTTAGTCCAAAGTAGGTAGAAAGTCTCGCACAAATATCTTACCCACCGACCTGCGACATTGAGAGGATGTCCCTCTCCTACTTGCTTAAGCAGGCAGGGCTCACAGCAGAGAGTGCACCCATCCTCTGATCCCCATTCGACTTAACCTGCTGCTTGCTCAAGCAGGCAGGTCTCACAGTAGATAGCGCACCCATCCTCTGATTCCCATTCGACCTAGCCTCCTGAGCATGTCTCATAGTAGAGAGTGGTTGCCATCCACCCAGTCGACCTCCTGGTGTGGGTCTCATGGTAGAGAGCGGTTGCCATCCACCCATCTCGTTCGACTGCTTTGTGGAAGGAAAGCCCCAAGCCGAGCCGCCCCACTGCTGATCATCTCCTCTGCTTCCAACTTCATCTGCGCGCTTCGCCCTCTTTGTGCCAGGAAAGCCCCAAGCTCGCGGTGGAAGTCGCCCCGCTGCCGGTCATCTCCTCCACTTCCGACTTCATCTGCGCGCTTCGAGACTTCCTAACTTACTCGATTCATGTCGAAACTCAACACCATTTGAACCAAGAGCACACTTTTTTTTTTGTCCTCGTTGATATTGCTCAGTGGAATTTGATCATTTTTTTACCAAGGGCAAAAATGGTCACTTTTGACTTAGGAAAAGGGCAGGGTGTAACATAAGTAGTCCGAATGATAGTCGGCATAATGATCTTGTATTGCTGGGGCTTATTCCTTGATAGGCAATCTGTTAGCTAGTTGGCAGTTTAGTGACATTTTGTAATGCACAATAGGTGCTTTGTTCTTTTGCTTCACAGGGTTACTCACACTGAACTTTCAATTTGTTTATGTGTTTTGCATATAGTTTTGAGAAATAAAAGTAAATGATTCAACGAACAAATACAAAACGAGAAACTCCACTTCTCTTCTCAAACCTCCTCATTGTCACCTCCACTTCCATCCTCTTTCCTAACACCTTAAACTGCCAACATTATTAAAAGTTAACGGATATTGTCTTCATTATTAACTTTGCTTGTCGAATTTGTCAGCGTTCCATTGATTGATTATTAACTTTGTATGTTTTTAGTATTAGTTAATATTTTTTATTGTTACAATTGGTTGTTGAAATTGTTAATGTTTCAATGGTTGATTATTAACAAATGCATGTTTCAGTCTTAAAGACTATTGTTTTCATTATTAACTAGATAGGTGCGGCCGCACTCTGAATACATAAATTAAGAACGATCCTACACATTCATTTATGTAAATACGTCATGAAAGACCACCTTAATGATTTTAGATTCTACTTATTAAAACAAAAGGACACAACCAATAAAAACAATAGTCAATGACAACAGATCAAGTTGAAAATTGGACAAAAAGTTGAATTTTTTTGCCGATGTTTCGGGTATCCACGGTTATATATGGCTAATAATTTCTCTTTATAACACTAACCAACATGTTAACATTGATACGAATAGCGTCATTACATAAGTGAAAAGGTACGACAATAAATTAATAAAATGAAAAAAATAGTTAAAACAACACAATTTCATGAAAACGTTATTTGTATAATAAATATCAAATTTGTAGAGAAAAATAATGACCAATGCTAGACAAAATGCGTATGCATGTGTATAATTGGGCGGATTTGGGTTGGATAGTGAGAAAATCATGCACACCCATCACCCACAATATTCGGATATGACTTTTACCCATACCTATGAAAAGTCTTTCGGGTTCGAGTTTTACCCTACCCAAAGATCGGATTCGGGCATATATCTATAATTTGAGATAATTTTGTCAACCCTAATAAAAATAATTTTAAATTATTATTATCATAATTCCACAATTCTCAAATTGAGAAACATTTTGTATAATTAGCATGCCTAACCAAATTTCTCATGCCAAAAAATTAAAATTATGGATTATGTGGTGCTACATACTAAAAATGAAAAACATATGCATTGAAAGCGGGGTTAATTGCATGGTTGGTCACTGAGATTACAAAAAACGTTCATGTTTGGTCACTAAAAATATTTAAATCCAGTCTTGGTCACTCAAATTAGTTAAATGATTCAAGTTTGGTCACTCTCCGTCTATTTCCGTTAACTCCAGCTTACGTGGCAGTCAACTTTCATAGTTGACCGTTAAATATGTGACGTGGCAATTAAAAAATTATTAAAAATAAAAAAATAAACTTTTATATTTTCCACCTCATTATTACATTCATTAAAAATAAAAAAAAATAAAAAACCTAAAAACAACCCTATCTCCCAATCGCCCCCAACAAATGATTCACAACTCAACGGAATCAGGACTAACCCATTTCCAGAAATGCTTTCTAACAGTCACAGCTTGATCGACAACCTTCTTATCCTCCGAATCCCCATACTCCTCCCCTTCCTCTGTCACAAAATCGTCGTCCGGCAGCCCGTCCACAATCGCGTCCACCGAGTACAGCATATATCTCGCCGGCAAACCAGGGTACGAAGCCGAACACCTCTCCTCCACCTTCTCCCTGTACGAACCCGACACAATCTGCACTTCCCCACCGGCAATCGACCCGAGCTCCTCTCGGATCGCCCGCAGGACGGCAGAATCAGGGCTCTCGTCGGGCTTTATCTTCTCCGACAAGGGCCGGTGCCGGCTCCTCACCGTCCCGTCGGAAAGCTCCTGATGCGATTCGATGAGGACCCGGTTGTTCTTCCCGATAATTTTCACGGTGGCGACGTTGACGGTGCGAATCGGAGGGGTAGAATCGGCGAGGGAGGTCTCGCCTTGAGAGATCTCGAGCCAGAGGTTGTGAACATTCTTCGTCCCCGGCTTGACCCCCCAGGAGGAGAAGGAATCGGAGGGCAATCGAGGCTTCAGCCAATTAGAGAGGGAATCAGGGTTAGCGAAACGGCGCCTGTTGTTTGGGTTTGAGACCGACATGGATGGGATTTGGAGGAAGCGGCGGCTGCGGCTGGAGGCGAGGAAGGGGATTTTCGGAAAATAGGGTTTGAGAGAGGCAGAGGAAAAAGAAGAAGAGAAGAGGATGGAGAGAGTTGTTAGGAAGAAGTCACTGATGTTGATGTTGTTGGGCCTGTAGCGGCGAGGAAGGGGATTTTCGAGAAATAGGGTTTGAGAAAGATGAATCGATCGATTACATGGCCATGTGGTTCCGTTCAGAGGCTTCTACTTCTCTAAAGACGAGAAGCTTCTCGTCTCCGATTACATGGCCGCCGGCTGCTTGTCGGTTGTTTTTCGTTTGGTTTCGGTTATTTTTAGGTTTTTTATTTTTTAATGAATGTAATAATGAGGTGGAAAATATAAAAGTTTATTTTTTTATTTTTAATAATTTTTTAATTGCCACGTCACGTATTTAACGGTCAACTATGAAAGTTGACTGCCACGTAAGCTGGAGTTAACGGAAATAGACGGAGAGTGACCAAACTTGAATCATTTAACTAATTTGAGTGACCAAGACTAGATTTAAATATTTTCAGTGATCAAACATGAACGTTTTTTGTAATCTCAGTGACCAACCATGCAATTAACCCCATTGAAAGCAGAGAATCAATGGAGCTGCCGCATCAAAAGGTTTAAGCAACTTTATAAATAAAATAAAAAGTTAAGGCAACAGTAACATTGCTTTGGCTTTATATAATATAACTTTGCTTGTTGAAATTGTTAATATCATTGGTTGATTGTTAATATCCATTGTCAATATCGTCTATTAAAACTACTATCGTTTCATTTTGAATATCAAAATTATTAATGTTGTATGTTTTCGTTGTTAACGAAAATAGCTTCATTATAAACGATGCATGTTCATTTATCAACGTTACTTATTGAAATTACTAACATTTCATTGTTTGTTTATTGACATTACATGAATTAATTATTACTGCCTCTTGTCAAAATTACTCATGTTTTTTTTTTGTTTGGTTATTGGGGTTGTTTGTCAAAATTATCAATGATTTCCTTAACATTATTAGTGTATGAAAACTGGGTTTTTACGGTTCCAATCTACATTTGTGATTATTAACATTCATTGTGAAAATAATTAACGTCGTATGTTTTCATGATTAACGAATATTTTTTTCCTTATTGACGTTCCATTTTCTATTTCAAATTGCTTGTTGAAATTTTTACGGTTTCATTGCTGGTTTATTAACATTACAGGTGTTAATTATTAATCATATCCCTAAATCCCAAATTCTAAACCCTATCCGTAAATTCATAACCCATAAATCATTCAAATGAAAGTAAATCTTGAACGATTTCTTACAAATATATGCATTTTCTTGTCAATCATATTACAACTGACGATTGATATCATTTTGACTTGAACCGCAACCGCCTACTCATATGAGTACACCGAACACAAAACCATATATATATACATGACCTATTTGAAGATAATCTCCTAACAAATTACATTCATATTTAAATCAAATACAATGTTGTAAACCCAATAAAAAAATTTCATATTTAAATATAACATTTTACGTCGATATCCAAACATTTATACTTGCATCCAACAAATAACATCAACGTGCATATTGAAATTAAAATACACACAGTACAGACAAATCTATATATTTAATTTTTTTTGTTTTTTAAATACATTAAAACGACAGTCATTTTGTCTAGCAAAAATATTGGAACCGATGGAATCACTAGGGTTCCCAGTTTCGACCAGCATTGACCGCCTTCATGCTGGAGTATTCTAGCCAATTTTATTACCCGAGTCAGTTGAATCCAGACCAGCCGGCATCCAACGACTTGACATGACAACCTACAATATATTTGGATCGTTGGTTGGTTGGATGGTGCTCAGATTTTACGGATTTGAAAGTCAGTAATCCGACGGAATCTTCACAACAAACAAGAGAGGGAATGTCAACACCGATATCTCACGAAAGTCCACAAATCACAATCCACAGACTTGTCTTACAGGTTGATTGTCGTTGAGTTGCGAATTTGCAACAAAATTCTCTTCCTTCTCTATCTGTTCTCCACCAAACAAATCAATCCGCATCCTATGAGGAAAAGAAGAAAATAAAAGGAGTTGGAAAATAATATTTTCGTGATCACATCTCATTGGGTACAACAAACAATGAAAAAGAAGTAGAGCAGAAATGTGGAGAAAATATGGCAAGTGGGGTAAAAAAAAATATGAACTATTGTCGCCACGTGGCTAAAGAAAAGTACTTTAGAAAGAAGAAGAAAAAAACATACACAAAAAAATGTATTTATGGGGACAAAATGAAGAAAACTTCAATGGCTGGCTTGCTGCTCTAGCTGGCGTTCAGCAATCTGCTGCATTGTAAATCTATCTTCTTCTTCGCTCTTCTTTGGGCTAAAAGGAACAGCGAAAACGGGTCTCTCTCTTCAGGCTCTCCCTTTTCTCTTGTCATCCAAAGCCTATATTGCCATCGATTATCCAGAAGAGCAGAATCAAGAGAGGCACGTAGAATTGAATTTACAGAGTAACGAGAGAAAGATGCCAACACACCTTACTCTGGAACATTCTCAAGGTCAGGACAAGAGTCTCTCGCATCCTATAGATAGACAGATATCAAAGCATCAGCAGCAGTAGGCAGCAGTTGTTTCCTAGAAATGAAGCAACCCATTTCCAAGTTATTATGCCCTTGCTGACAGAGTCTGATGACACCACTGGCAATCAGGGGAAGGGTAACAATTCCGCTCTTACCGGATCCAGTCGGTATATGGAACAAATTGGATTGGTTCGACTATAATTTGATTCGATTTCGATTCCATGAGTTCTCTTAAAATAGAGGGGAAAAGCGGGCCAGATCGAAATTCGGACCAGGTACTGTCCATTCCCAATTTGGTAATATGATACAACCATGAACACTTACAGAAAAAGAGAGACAGAATCAGTTACCGAACAGTCGATGTGCTGAGGGGAAAAGATGTCCCGTCGGAGCTCGTCAAAACGAACTGCGTCGAGCCAGAAGGGATTTTTATCTGCCGGAGAAGAATGGTTAGTAGAATAGAGTAATTTGAAGAGGGTAGCAGCAATAGGTAATCAGTCTTAGTACATCGAAAATGAGAACAACTGTCAAGACAGATATGAAGGAAGGAATATATACGTACTGACAGGTCCTTGGAGAATTTTTCAGCGAAAATTGGTTCATCTGTGATTTTACTCTTCATACGGTATCCGGATCGTTGCAAAACTAGATCAATTGGCTCCCAGTTCTCAGAAGAGTCCATCTAAGAAACGGAAAGGAGATAGATTTGGTTAAAAATTTTCAGCAGAAAAGAAACAAGCAATTGTGTAGCTATGTGTCACCACCAGGATCCCATCCTGGTTTTTCATTTCATTTGCTAACCCCCGTTCTTCTAGAATGGTCCTACATTATTCATAAAGCGAGGTTGAAACTGAAACCAGCTTACCAGCAATAGGACGCTAAACGAAGCTTCCCCACTGGATATGAATGCGTCGATTTCTGATTGCATGTCTGGGTCTGGAAATTAGATGAACAGAGCATTCGTAACAGGCATTAGCTTCGAAGTAAAAGTCAGCCAAAATAAAAAAGAGAGTGAACACACAATCGGGCAAGTTTAAGCAACAAACACTGCAGAAAAGAAAGCAGAACTCACACAAGACAGATGACCCCAAAGCACTCAGAAGGATACTTTTGGATTTTGGAAGTAAAAACTAAAATGAGACAATATAAGTAACCAAGTCCCAGCGCACTTACCAGATTTTATTTTGCGCTGACCGTTTGCAAAAAGCCTCACTAATTCTCCCTAGAGCAGAAAAGAAGAGGTGATCAGAGACCAGTAAGTATGTATGATGAGCATACCAGATCAAATAAAACGAGAAATAGCAAGGAAACACAATTTCAATCACAGAAAGCAATAATACTTAATTCTGCTCATCACACAATTGTGATTCTACCAAAATCATTCATACAAAGCAAAAGGTTCAACAGATTAGTAAGGCCATAATTGGTGTTTGCAATTGTAATTCATGTATTGATGGAATGCTTGTATTATAAATAAGTGTATTGTTTAAATGGATGTATTTTAACATTACAATATTTGGAGATTGTATTTGTAGTTTGGGAAATGAAATGGGTAAAAGTACATTTTTACGGTGAAGACATAGAATTTGTGTATACATATAAAAGTTCAACTCCATGCTTGTTTCCCTAATTTCTTAAGGATCGAATGGATTTTCTGTGGCAAATGTATTTTCAACTTGTAGGAAATTAGGGTAAAGATAGTTGAAGAAGGTTGAACAGAAAAAAATAATAGGAAATACAGAGGTTTGTTTCACTGGCAAAATGTTTAGTTTACGGGAAATCAGATAGTTGGGGGTATTTGATAGACTTCTCAATGATGGTAGGTTGTGGAAGACAGAACATTGGGTACAAACAGAGGCACACAGATAACTGCGGCGGAGGTGACAAGGTCATTCAATTTCTTAAAAATCAAGGTATAGCATTGGAATAGGCCAAAAAACAAGTCTGGCAGCTATAAGAAACAAATCAGAACGAGTTTAAAGGCCCAATGTGTATTCAACCCACCTTGAATATTACCCCTACACAAGCAAGTACACTCACACTTTGCACAATCAAACTCAACATAAATCCAATGACAGTAACGATGTACAATCATGTCCAAGAAAATTACTGTGTGGATAACAAAAGAATAGTATTGATTTACTAACTTGACGGCCTTGATCATCCATTGGTATGCACTCAACAGCAATAACCTTATCAACATCATCAGCAGTCACTATATATTCTGGATTTGTGGCTCCTGATGCAGATTTTCGAGGTAAATGCCACGACTACTTAACAATTAGAAAACAGAAGCCACTAGCAAAAATCCAAAAAAACTCATTCTTTGTGAAATTACCTTCAATGTACTGCCTTGTTCCATCATCAAGATGACGAACCCACTGAAACATGCAGAGAGAGGTACCTCGTACAGGGTATCCACAACCAAGGAGCCTTTCTCCAGGTGCAGCTTCTCCAACAATCTGGAACCCTTCTATGCCAGGGCGATCTGAGATCAAAATGAGGTAGCATTAGAATCCACAACATAGAAAAATCATGAATCCCTGACAGACGAAGTTATCTCTCACCATCAGAAATGGATGAAGTCATCTCATGATCTCCGTTGGAAGGAGGACGCAAGTCTTTGGTCATCTCTTGTGCTCTCACATTGAGACCTTTATTAAAACTGAGAGAGAGTGAAATAATGCTGGGACACTACTTTACATGGATGTGTCATGCATAAGGAAAATAACCACCAGGAAAATAAAGCATCCTCTTGGAAAGACTTTTAAGATGCAAATCAGTCTTCCCGTGATAGAATTGAGATGGAACTGATCAGAATTCAGAAGTGTTCAAAAAAGATAGTTGAATTCATGAAAGATTTCTCAAATCTCTTAAATAAGGCCAAAAAGTTATGAGGACAAATATTTCATTAATGATCAGGACATATAAATCTCATTACTCCAGAGGCCAATCAAATTTTGAATAAGATTGATTTGTGATGCATCTTGTATGATGTGGTATCAGAAAACATAATACTGCAGCAATTAATACAATTTTGAAAGAATAGTTGGCTTGCAAACATGGTGATCGACGCGAAGAAGCAGACGAATCATTGATTTCATGCATGAAGAGACCTCAAGACAATGAGGGAACCACATTCCTGCTTGTCAAGCACGTCAATCTTGGAAATAGAAAAAGAAGAGTGTAATTATGATAGAATTAATTGTGAAGGCAATTCGATAATCACAGCCACAGGGAGCATTCAGTGAAGCATATTTCACGAACTTTGCAACAAAGATGGGTTTGTGCTGGGGAAAAAAACATCCCCTACTTTCACATTCCTATAAAGTTGGACACTTCTATTCCTGCAAATACTAACGCCACAGTATAAAGAAATGCCAAATTTAATCAGCCAGACCTACAAAACTAGTACTCACCTATCATGGTTGAATTCAAATTCCTGAAAATTGTTGTTATAAGGCTGTGGTTGCCTGTCGTTATCAAGCATTGAACTTGGCCCTTCTGCAATATTATTTTGAGGCATCCTTCCTAGCATATTATCACTTGGTTCTATGAAATTGTGATGATTCGTATTGTGGCCCTGCAAAAGAATTGATGACATCATGATACAGTAAGGAAATCTAATCAGACCTACAACCCAAAGACTAGCACAATAGATAAATATTCATTAATTTCACCATGGATTGATGATGAAATTGACCAGTCAGAATGCCAGGGCCAAAGTTATCTTTGTCATGATTTCCACTCTCCATTTGAGATCCCACAGTGGAAGTCAACTCTCTGATTCTCTCCTGGATGATATTAATGAAAAATGTAGCAATGTCATAACCTAATATATCACGGGAAGTAACAACAGGGTACTGTTATAATGATGCAAGTTGTCATAAAAGTAAGTTGCGAAGGCATTGATTCCGATCTATTAGGTAATAGAGCATGAAATAATGCCGATGTAAATATCCTTCCAGACGAGAGCTTGATGGGGAAATATATAAGAGTCCGTTTCACCAGAATGTAGTGAAAAATTGTTTAGCAAAGAGTTCATATTACTGATTCTGATATATCAATTGGCTGCAAAACCAATAGTACAACTAGCATTGACTGATGAATTCCAAATAGAAGTAAGTGAATGTTGAACATCTTATGCAGGTCAAGTTTTAATTTTAAATGGAACACGAGTAGAATGGTAAGCGTGTTTTTGGAAAGAATGTTAACAAGACAGCTGTGACTAACAAATACAATATCCTGTGCACAAGGAGCAAACTCACATGTGAAGACTTAATTTTCCACTGCAACTCATTGTGCAGGTTCTGCAAAAGAAACAAGAAAAATCTTAGTGAGTCTAACAAGCAAAAGAAATTTGCAGTACACAAAGGAGCACATTTCTGAAGGTTTTAGTTAATAAAGACCATTCACATAGCACGAAGTGTAAAAAAGAACATAAGACATTTCCATGTTTTAAGAAAGAAAGAACAGAAACTATAAATGAAACCGAATAAATTAACCAAAAGTAGAAAACAAGACCAATAAAGGATCAGAACAAAATCAAAGAAGCCAGGCCTTGCCACTATGTATTTGAATTAGTTCCGTAGAAGAAACCGAGTCGGATTATCAAGAAAGTTTCTAGTGACTTCTATTATTCCATGGTTCTAATAACAGTAGATTTAGTACGCAATAGCATAGCCAAGAATATTTAGAGCACTTCTATAGTTAAAGGTCTACATAAACTCTATTTAAATGGTTGTACCTTCACACTGTTGGATATAGCAGAGGCATTCACAGCATGGGGCCAAATTCCATGTTCACCCAACAAGCCAAGAATAGAAGACACAAAAATATACCTCTCGTCATCTACCAACTGTACAGTTAGAGAAAACAATCAGTTGGTTTCGTTACCATTTTTAGGGAATAAAATATAATGCTTGTATGGAATTTTGCAAATATCACTATTCTAGATACACCCAAACAAACAAGCTGATAGTATATTCATCATGACCATCACTATTACTTCCCTCCACCATTCAGCATGATACATTTTACCTAATAGAACCCATAGATAAAGTTCGTTGGGTTCCAAGCAAAGAATAATATTTACAGAGCAAGCTAGAGTTTCACATGTTTCCACTGAAAGCATCTCTCATAAGATCTAGGTTTTCCATCCTAAAAGCAGGTCATTAACAAGAAAATTATGGTCACAAAGTTGTCAGAAAAGCTATCTAAAAATTTCATGTATTAAAGCTCAAAGTTGTTATTAACTAAATGCTTCTCTGAATTAGGATGATACTTATGGACATGGGTGACAATGAAAAGGTCCGAAATCGCACATATGTTGGGAAATAGGGGCACATACACAATGTCAGCAGTGGCAATGATGACAAGACAGCTGCGTACCTTCAAGTTGTGAGCCAATTTGAAGTTTTCTTCAAGATCACCTTTTCTACGAACCAATTCATTTAAAGCAGCTGTAACAGCTTCATTCTGCTTATCATCAATTGCCTACGCTCAAAAAGGGAAATTTCAAACACAAGAATTGAAATATTGACCATTCACACAGAAGTTATTAACACCTGGTATAGATGCACGGAAAATGAGATGCTATTTGGCAAAGATATACGAACCCTTCTTAACTCGGAAAATTTCCTCTCCAACGCATATTTCTCACTCAATAGTTGGAGTTCCTGATGCCAAAGGGATAAATGATTCAGCGATACAAATACACGGCTTATCAACTTATGTTTCTTTAGACATCAAGTCTACAGTATAGTACCCTCACTCCGGCAGCAGCAATCTGTTTACGGAGCATCTGAATCTCGTCTTTTTGGTCCGTCATCTTTGAATATAGAACCTAGTTGTGAACCAATAAAAGCATAAGGAACTGATAAAAGTTTGTTGTTAGTTCACCAAAATACTTATTTTTCCACATGAACTGGCACACACCATTGCTTCTTTGTCCTCTGCAAAATTTAACTTCCCATCACCAATTGTATCCCTCTGAACAGGCTGAGCTCCAAAATTACTCCTATATAATAACAGAAGCATTTAGTTACAATAGCATACTGCAGAATACTCACTACTTGTAGCCACTCCTGTAAGTATTGAATACAAGCATCCATCACATTGCTTCGAACTCTGATACATACTTCACAGGAAACAATCACTCTGGCGACCAGGTCAGGAAGTACCTCTGCATAGTGTTTGAACTCTGTGGCTGAACCCCTTCATCTGCAAGTCCAAGCAAAGACGTTCTCCCGGAAGACTTCATAGAGGCTGTTTCAGTTCTTCAAAACAACATCCTACTGCCTGACAGCTACATTCTCCCATAAAAATTGATTGACTTGACTATTTAGAGTATTCTCGGATCCCTAGGACCTCTTTCCAGAAGGTACTATTATGCTTGCACAGGATACTCCGGCTTGTAAATGTTGCCTACCTGCAAAATAACAAAGATAGAATCAACATAACTGAGAGAACAGAAGATCTTGAAATCAATCATATGGAATAGACAAACATTGAGAGAATAGAAGATGTTGAAATCATTCTAAATATATACAAGGTTCAAGCACGGAAAATAAGACACTCGAGAGAAACTCTTCCACGAGAATCATAATGTGTATAGAAATTTCTAGTGTAAGATGCTATAAACGTGACTTCAGTTTCAGCGTATGACTCTTTTATTAGTTGACTAATCTATCATTTCTTGATAACCAAATCAATTAGAAAATATTTCTCACTTCAAGAAGTTATCAAAAGTAGGGTTACGCTGCCATGTGTCTATGTGAAGTGCACAAACTGGGGTATAAGAAATCTACTTGATTAGCTCTGAGCGTTGTGGCGCAACACTGGCCCTTGGATTCTAGAACGAGATCTAGTTTTAGTTGATCAGGCATATGACAAACAACTGAAACTCCTTAGATTCATTTCATGAAGAACGAGCAGCAAACTTCCCTTTTTCAGAAACATAGTACTGGCCTATTTACTCTCAAATGCACACATTCGACTGCACAGGGTACCATTTGCTCTCTTCAATCACTTTCTTTAGCTTACTTGACATAACTTCAGCATTGGGTCACTCCACTGTCCCTCACTATATGCCACCACTATCAAGAACCCAAACTAGCTCTATCTAGTCAGATAAGGTAACAGGTTCGTCAAAGGTCCACACTCAAACCGGACGAATGATAAATCATCAAACAGTTTAAGCTGCTGAGCATCTTAAGCCTAACTCCATTTGCTCAAATCCAGTTTTCTATCCTTAAACGAGAGGAACTCTCACTGCAGCCTACAGATGCAGTCCTAGACAATCTTGGCGAAAAAAGAAAGAATTCAATCCCCATATCTAAGAAGCAGAGCAGGCGCGAGGGTGAAGGCCAGAAATGGAAATTGAAAGATTGGATATGGTACGGCGCTTTCTACTCGGACACTGAGGCGGGAGGATGCAAACATGGAGCAATCGAAGAAAACCAGAAGAAACGGATCTATGTATCGCCGTCGTCAACGAAAATGGGGGAAAGACAGGCTCAAGCTAATTCAATGAAATTCCGGTCAAGAAAATTGAAACGAAGATGTTACCTGCCGAATTGATCCGCCGGCGAATCTCAGGGACGGCGAAAATAGAGACTGGGGAGGGACACGGAGAGAGCCAGTCAGGCCGGCGTTGAAGTATTCTCCAGCTCCGAGCTCCCGCGCAGCCGCCAGAGACGCCTGGAAATATGCTTCCTCTGCTGCTTTACTTGTCGGTTGAAAGGTGGAAAGAAAGAACCAAAAAAAAAAAAAAAGATTTTAAGTAAATCTGGAACTGTTCTGAAAGATGAATAATATAATTAATCCACTGCGCTTCTGAAACCGTTTTTTACATTTGCTACTTTCTCCTGGAGCGACTTTTCGAAGCCGTTGTAACTGTTTTCTTTTCTGCCATGGGAAGTTGGAATCGTTCTCTCGTTGCCCTTTCCATTTTCGCTATTCAGCCATTTTGTGGAGTTATGTGAAAAACTTATTCAGGTCAAGGGATGATCAAATCAAACGTGAGAGATTACGAAGTAAAAACGCGTATAATTGATGAGTTTCTGCGCAATGTTGACAAAACCGGATCGGTTTGATAAGTAGCTTGAGTTTTAATGGTCTGATTGGGTTCAATCAGTTCAACTGTTCAAGTCAGTTTAATCAAGATTGTCTAACGGTTTAAGTCATTAAGTCAATCAAGTAAGTGGCTTGAGGTTCAATGGTCTAATCGGGGTTCAATTTGTTTGAGCCGTTTTATACATTTTCTAAATATACATAATACAAATAAGGTAGTAATTTAAAATTTTAATTACTAAATGGAATTTACCTTACATATGAGTATTAGAACCTCACATCCCATAAAAAAAGCTATATAACCCCCATGACCTAAGGGTGGGCATGTGGTTCCCTAAACCCGAATCGAGTCGAAAACGAACGAAATCAGACCAACCCGAAAAATATAACTTCAGTTCGGAATTCGGAAGGCAAAATCCTATATTTTGAAAAATCAGTGTACGCACGACCGGACCCCAATTTTGATTACCCGACCGAAAACCGGACATGCTGACCAGCCTCTTAACCCACACTCCCAGCCTAGTGCCCCAGTCTCTAATCTCAGCCCACACACTCACAACACAACCTAGTATCTCATCCTAGCCCTCCCAACAACAACATAACCCTAAGCCCACTCCCCCATAATCCTATACGACACCCGCCAAGCCTCAACCTATCCATCGTTGAGCTCCTTCGATGGCGGCGAGCACAAATCCTAGGAGGGATCATCGGCGACCTCCTCTTCAATCAGGCCGCAGACAACAACATGCAAGCAATGATTCAGAAGGAAAAAAAGGGTGAAGTTGAAGAATACTAGATCCGACGGTTGATGATTCTAGTGTTGGCAAATCGATGGCGGGAGTTCTCGGTCTTGCGAAGCGGCAGCGTGTTCGGCAGCTCCCTCATATGTCGATTTAGTGTTTTGTGTATGCATGTAGAGTGGAAGAAAGGAGAGAAAGATGGAGAGGGGAAAATCAACGGGTAAGAGAGACAGGGAGGGAGACAATAATTGTTTTGATAATGCCCACAGATCCACAATTGATAAGGAAAATGGGAAAGTTTTTTGGTTTAAGGCTAAAACCGAACTGACATATATTTCGGTTTGAGGTTTGATGTAATTAGGGATCCAGTATGCATTATTCTGGTTCGGTTTCGACCGAACCGAAGCTCACCCACCATCCTTCTTTCCTATCTTTTCTTCTCCCTCTTTAGTGGTCAGACCTATGACTTTCCGGAGAACGTTTTGGAGCCCGAAAGTGGTCAGACTATGTCCAATCGACTGGCCTGTAGAGGTTTAACAACCTTGATTTAACATAATATGTGAGATAACTTCTAATACCAAATAGATTATGTATATATTTGACATATTTTAAAACAATCTCACTAATCTATATTTTAATATATTACCAAATTATTTCTTCAAAAGACATATATAATAAAATTATCAATTCTCATCTTCAAATCCGGTTTTGACTGGTCAAACCACCCGGTTTTAATTAGTTTAACCCGATTATAATGGTTTAACCAGATTTTGACTAGTTTAACCTTATTTTGACTTTTTTCCTGAACCGTCTAGCCGGAATGTATTCCAATCGTTTAGATGACCGCTTTTGGTCGGACTCGGTTGAACCGGCCGCCCGAATACACTTTTGACAACCTTTGTTTTGCGGTACTCAGTTTCAACCAAGTATTGCAAAATCGTACCGAAAGTTGTACCAGAAAAGCTAGCGATAGGATAATTTGTACTAATATCATGGTTGAACTTTGTAGTGCTAAAAAGCACCTACCGATAGTGTATTTTTATGGTCGAACCATCGGTACGACATGATTTTCACAAACACTGGTTGAACATGATGTATGACTTTTGTGATGGGGGCGGCGAGCATTCCAATAATGAGCAGTGGCGGAGGCAGGATTTCAAACTACCCATGGCTTTTATTCAGAATATATATAATATTTTATAAATATAATTAAAATCAATAATATCTAAATAATTCATTCACAGAGAAAACAAAAAACTGACTAATACCATTATTGTTTCATAAATAACCAGGACGAGTTTTCATATTATGAAAGACATGTAAAATACATTCATTGTTTACACCATAATATCGTGATAATACCTAACGAGCTGTTGTGAAATGATAGTGCCATGAATGAAACCAATAATTTAATTATTTTTTGTGAATTAATGAATAAGTAATGAGTTATGTTGTAATGTAAAAATATCCTTATATTATTTGTAAATGTTTAATTCGATCTGTACAAATATATGTGGAGTTATTTTTTCCCCTCCCCAAAAGTTACCCCTGTCCCGGGACAGGGGCAAACATCCCTGCCTCCGCCTATGATAATGAGGTAATTGTTATGGCTCAGATTTACTTATCAATCATAATTCGTATTTTGTTTATCCGATCTCTTTTTCTAGTTATTCTTTCGAGCAAACGAAATCGTGGAATTAGCCTTATGTGGATCATGGATTAAATGTACGATAGGTCACCAGCTGATGGCTGTGAGCCCAGTTAATAAAATCTCAAGGGGGATTCATCAGGTCACCTGCCCACCAAACATCGCCTTGATCTCAAGGGGAGATTCATAGACACACGATGTTAGTGGGTGTTATTATATGTGTCTTTCTTTTGTTTTGAGGAAAACGGTAGTTTTATTATTTATTGATATCTCATAAAATCGGTGGAAAATTACATGAGCGCCCTGTCATTCATAAATAAAAGGAGATTGATTCATGATGAGGTGCAAAAGCAGTGGTGGTCGAAACATTGCGGCGAGCCCTTTTGGCAAACTAGGATGGCGCAATCTGTATTGGCATTGCAAAGCACCACCACCGGCTGCGCGGCCGTACTTACTCCTCCCTTCAAATTCGTTGCTCCGTCGCCTGCCAATGGGGAAATGAGGAAAATTTTTTTAAAGATTTTACCTAAAAAATGTGTAGTCATCCATTTGTAATAATTAAAGATTTTTTTCTCCATAATACATTAGCAACTAATGAGTGGTATTTGATATTCAAACCTTCGACACCGCTCATCTCCAAATTCTGCTTTGTAGTCGATAGACGATCACCTGTCATGTCATTGAAAATCAATGATAAATCCAACAATTATGTCTTGCAGGTTTTGTAACACTTTTATCTATGTGTGCGATTTAGTTTCAGATCACTAAAATAAAATAGAAAATTATAGATTATCAAGAAAAAAGTGAATGAAATAAAACCTGCAGAGATTAAGAGTTGAATAAGAAGCGACTTACATGATGCAACGACCAAAAGAAGAGCAAAAAATGAGATCTGAACGTAGGCTGAGTTCATTTTTTTACTTTCAAAACCCTAATGCTTTTCTTATTCTTAAGTCCTTTGGATGGAGAGCCATTGTTCAGTGGACTCAGTTTATATAGCACCGGTGGAACAATTGCCGATCCTGTAGACAGCTAGCAAGAAAATAGAAATCAAATAATATGTTTATTCCATAATTACAAAAAGGAAATGTAAATTCATAGAAGGTCGACAGACAAGAAAGAAACTTATATGGATATAATTATGTCCATATCTATTCCATTGTTTCATCCATTCTTTTCTTTTTTCAATAGAATCCATCCATTCATTCATTGGATATAATTATGTCCATGTTAAGAACTTCCATAAGTGCCATAGTTTCTCACATATGTAATGTAATCATATGGTTTCTATTTGAACTTTTCATGTTTGATTCCTCTTAGATTATGTTCTATATTCTCTAGCTTGGCTACTAAAATTGTGCTTCCATCGATCTCAACAAATATATTATTTGTTCGTCTATTATTTTTCACGTCTTTCGACTTCCTTCCCAAATTTAAAAAACGCTTTTTTAGTACTATATGAACAAGAGTATATGCACAAAAACTCGAGATTTATATACTAGAATTGTGATAGAGTGGTATGCATTTAGTTTTCGTTAATAATATTTTCGCCCCCTACAAAGTCATGGGTTACATGCTCTTGCGAGGATAAAATTAGGGTTTGGCCCGTTAAGCTGGTTAACCACCAACGCGAATTCAGACAGTATTCTCAGCACTTGTGCTCCTAAGTCATTGGCCGCATGCAGGCCTGCTAGCACGGCTTCGTATTATGCTGCATTGTTCGTTTTCAGGTCACGAAACCGGATGGCTATCTCGTGAACCGCTTCGAGGGGAGTGCGCACGACCACTCCTGCCCCTGTGTCGTGTTTGCTGACCACCCCATCCACATGTATTTTCCATGTTCCTGTTGGAGATATATCGAGGACAACTCCTTCCGCAATGAAGTCTGCAAGAATCTCTTCATTTATGGCTGGTCGCGGTGCATACTTGATGTCGTATTCGGAGAGTTCAACTTCCCACTTGACCAAACACCCTGACACTTCCATCGAACTCAATATCTTCCAGAGCGGTAGATTGGTAAGGACGGTGATCGGGTGCGTTTGGAAGTAAGGCTGTAACTTCTGTGATGTTGATACTAACGCGATGGCGACCTTTTCAATCGACGAATATCTTGTTTCTGGGTTGGTTAGCATGCGAGATATGTAATATACCACTCTTTCCTCGCTACCCTTTGCCCTATATATTAGTACCGCGTTGACACCGCGGATTGAGACTGCGAGGTAAAGGAACAACATCTCATTCAGTAGTGGCGCCACCAACACGGGTGGGGATACAAGATGCATTTTCAGTTCTTCAAAAGTTGCATCGCACGCGACATTCCATTCAAACTTCACCCCCTACCTTGAGTGTATGGAAGAATGACACACATCAATCGGTGGATCTTGAGATTAATCTACCCAACGCTGCCATCTTCCCTCTAGTGATTGGACCTCCTAAGCATTACGCAGAGACTTCAATTGATGGATCGCATGCAACTGTTTCAGGTCCACCTCGATGCCTTGCCTTGTGATCATGAATTCGAGGAATTTTCTCCGCTCTGAACACACACTTCAGCGGATTGAGTCGTAAGTTGTGCATACAGAGACTCTCGAACGTTTCTCGCAAGTCGTCGAGGTGTTATCCGGCCCCGCACGTGTTTGAAGTGGGGGCTAGCCTTCCATGTCGTCGGCTTATCCGGTCCCGCACGGGTGCTTCTGGCACCTTCATGCGTATATGTATATATATGGTAAAGGCTAGCGTACGATTGTCGTACGCTATACGCCTTCGCTCACACCTATTATTTGTACTTGGATAATTTCGACGAATAAACACCGTTGGTTTTCAGTTTGAGATTAAATTAATCTTATAGTTTGGGTTTGAGAATCGGGGACTAGGGCTCACCCATTAGAGTTTAGGATATAGTATCGTGTCTGAAACTCTGGTTAATTTGTGATCTAAATAGCAAAACTTGACGGGCGTACGGTACGATTTTGTTATTTAGATAATGAATTAATCGGAGTTTGCGGCATGATACTATAGCCTAACTTCTAATGGATAAACCTCAGTCCCTAATTTTCTAAACCAAACCATGCGATTTGTTTAATCTAAAAATAATAACCGAAGGTTGTGATTCGTCAAAATATATCCAAGTACAATTAACAAGTATGAACGCAAGTATATAGTGTACGTTGGACATACGCTATCCTTTGTCGAAATTTTCATTGATTTTCATTTTAAGATTAAACGAATCTCATGGTTTGGGTTAGAAAATTAGGGACTGGGGTTCACCCATTAGAGGTTAGGGTATAGTATCATGTCCCAAACTCCGGTTAATTAATGATATATATAGCAAAACTCAATGGGCGCGTACACTAGGTTAGCATACGTCCGGGTGTATATATATATACATATATATATATATATATACATACATATACATATATATATATATATATATATATACATACATATATATATATATATATATATATATATATATGGTTCAGGCTAGCGTACGCCCCATTGAGTTTTGCTATATATATATATATATATATATATATATATGGGCAGTTCTACGGTGCCCAGGGCAAAATCAGGGGTACGGGTGACCGGGGGCAAGGAAAATTACCAAATGCATCACGAAGCGTTTATGGTGACTTCTACGGACTTCAACCTAACTGTACCCGGTTTAATGATAGCGATTAAGAGGTTAAACCCTATGGATACGACCCGCCGCCCTAACCAATTTCCAGTCTCCCTTCTACGATCCCTCATTCGCCTTGGAGGGTCCCCTCTAACTCTAAGTTCGAAGTTCGATCATAAGCTGCCTATCAAATCTGAAATCTCCAACAAAATCATCGTTTCGAAACCCAAATCCTTTTATTATTTGATCCACATTCGATTTAGCTCCCTATCCAATCTCAAATCCCCAACATCATCATGTTTCATACGCCAAATCTATGTATCCACATTCGAAGAGAAGATCCCCATCCAATATGAAATCCTTACATAATCATCGTTTAGAACCCCAAATCCTTTTATCCACAAATCGACGTTTTGTTCATCGCCATTTTATTTCCGTGCGGAAAATTACTCGCCTTACTCTTGCTAACACGATTACGGCGACCATGTCTATTATTGTGTTCATCAAACTTTTCGTTTGCAAAAGAACCCTTGAAAGAGATTTGCTAATCCTAGGGTTCATGTCGCTAGTGCTTTGTCATCTTGTCTTAGCGTTATTGTCATTTTCTCGAAACTTCTATCACTCGGTGAAATTAAGGTTTCCTGATATGCAGTGTTCGTCTCGCCCAGAGGATTGAGGAAGGAGATGAAGAAGACCTAATTTGATTCGAATCAGATGGAGAGGTCTCCTTAATTTGTGTTTATGTATTAACGCTGCGTTTAGGACTAATTCTAGTTGGACTGGGTCTGATCATTGATTTTTGCAGGCTAAAAAAAAAACATTCAAACGTGGGCTTGTACATGGACCCATGACACCTAGTTTGTTGATAATAGATACTGAGTTCCGGATTGTCATTAGGTTGGGCCTTTGATAATTGTCTATCTCAGACTCTCAGTGGCGATTCTTTGTTTTACTTATTTTCATCTGCTTCTGCTTCTAAAATCCTGATCATTCATTGAGTTCACGCAATTTAAACATAATTCTGTGTTCCATCTTTTTTGGAATTTGGTAAATGCTAGCGTGTCTCTTTACACATTTAGCGGTACGAGGTAAACTACAATCCGCCCAATTTAACTCTTCATTAATTGAGATCCCATTCCACTCTCTCACCGATTTCCCCTCTTTATGCAATGCACTCGTACATAACAAACCTCTTGTAGACTAATTAGAGGCTTGTGGTTGGATACTGAGTGAGGATATTTTTTGAATTTATGTTTTGAAACGAAAGTTAGAGTTTCACTTTTGAAGTACCTATGTACTTTAGTTGGACAAGTATTTTCAATCGGTAAAATTTTATCAGCGTATAGGTATACGATTGTTGTATAAGGTGTTGATGTTAGAGGAAATGGGTACTGACTGCTTAGGGTATTAGGTTGTTGATGGTATAGAGTATATGGTATATGGGTAGGTTATAAGGTGTTGATGGTTTAGAGCATATGGTATCGATTGGTTAAAGGGTGAGGGTAGGTGTTGTCTTATTTTTTCTCGATTATATATTTTCTTTATATTTGCTTATAAATGCTGATCATGCCTTATTACTAAGACATAATTCGTTATATCTGCTTATAAATGCTGTATATCTGCTTATAAATGCTGATAATTTATTGTTTGATTTGAACCTGCGTGTTTTTGCTCCGAATGATTTTGTAGTGGCGTGGTAAAGACAATCTGTCCAATTTAACTCTTCATTAATTCCCCCTTTTCTTTTCTGTTTTGGTAGAATAATTACCCCTTTTCCACTCTCTCAGTCCCCGCCGAAGTTGAAACAATCCCCTGTGATATATTTATCGATCATTTTAACCCTTCACTTAATAAGAAAGCGAAATTATGCAAGATGGTCATCAATGTGATGTAGCTTAATTGGTTAATTGTCTCTTATTTGCTTAGTCAATAAAGTAGAGGTTTGTGGTTCGATACTTAGTGAGGTATCAATTTTTAATTTATGTTTTGAAAAGCAAGTTATAATTTTAAATTATCAGCGTCTAGGTATACGATATTGTATAAGGTGTTGATGGTTTAGAGTACATGGTATTGGGTTAGTGTATTGATCATCTCCATCCCTAAAATAAGATATTGTATAAGGTTTTGATGGTTTAGAGTATATGGTATTGGGTTAGTGTATTGATCATCTTCATCCCTAAAATTGAACAACAATTTCTAAACGAGGTCCCTACCGCCACATCATCAATTTTAGCAATTCATCACTTAACAATTTCTATTCATCTACATCCCTACATTATGCTAGTAATTGCCAAGGTGGGTTCCATTTTATATTTCAAAGGAAACACTTATT